TTACCCCTAGGCTACGGAGGCCGCTTATCATACATACTAACTTCCCATGCTATGAATGAGATACATCACTCTGCAACTGACAATTCTCTACATGTCACATCAGCAGTGGGGGGGGGACTAAAAAAACATGTTCTACCATCTCTTGACAATTTAAGCTGAAGATTTGTGGCTTTCTACAAACTGAATTCAAAGCTAACATGGATATACAGAAGAATGACAACATGTATTACTATAAATCTCAGCACAGAAAGGTTTCGCACATTACCCTGTGACAACTTACCTGTGGATGGTCATGAAATACTTCACCACTTAAGAATGTGGTGACAAGCTCTCTCAGTTTCCGTGCTGTTTCAATATGACCATGAACCTCAAACTTTGTAACCATACCATCAACTTTGCGACGGACAGCATGGCTATCCACAGACAGAAAACAGTGGTGCCATAGATTGGAGAGTGCAAATTTCTCACATAAGTCAAAATTCTCTTCTCCTTCCTAAATAAAAGAGTTACACATTCAATTTCAATGTGTGATGCAAGTTTAGACATGAAAAACACTATGGAGGGTCATTAATGATCAAAGATATTAGTTCAGCAGAGCTCCAGAAATATGACATGCAAGGAACTTGTCCTGGACAGCAAACTCCACCTGCTAGAAAGAGTGTTGTGTTGACATGACTATTAAACATATTATCTATTATCTATATATACTATATTTGTAGTTGTTCCGTATGGGTGTGAAACTTCGTCTCTGACATTAAGGGAGGAACACAGACTGAGGGTATTTGAGAACAGGGTGCTGAGGACAGCATTTGGAGTGGAGAGAGATGAAATGATGGAAGGTTGAAGAAAACTACATAATGAGGACCTTCATAACTTGTATACTCGTCACCAAATACAATTAGAATGCTTAAGTCAAGGGGGATGAGATGGACAGGGCATACAGAATGAATGGGGGAGATGCGTAATGCATATAGGATATTGGTGGGAAAGCCAGAAGGAAAGCGACTACTAGGAATACCAAGACGTAGGTGGGTGAAGAATATTAAAATGGATCTTAGAGAGATGGGATTGAATAGTATGGGCTGGGTCGATCTGACTCAGGACAGGAACCAATGGAGGGCTCTTGTAAACACAGTAATGAACGCTGGGAACTTCTTGAGTAGCTGCACAATTGGCGGCCTCTCAAGAAGGGCTCAGCTTGATGAGTGAGTGAATCTGTATGTAGTTAATACCAAGTAATTTAGGCAGAGGGGAAAAACTTTAAAAACCGCATAAAGGTTGGACACAACGGTTTTATCAATTACGCGATATGATTAGCGTCCATTGTTTATCTTCCGTCAAAATTGCAACACTTTTTACATTCTACACTTCAACACTACATGTTTCGGCATATTTTACTAAAACTGTATTAAAAACTGCTACACTGTATTAACTCTTGTTTTAGTAAAATGTCTGTAACATAAAAACACCTGAAGATGGCCGTTTGAGGCCGAAAAACGTAGTGTTGAAGTGTATAATGTAAAAAGTGTTGCAATTTTGACAGAAGATAAACAATGGACGCTAATTTGAACAACTGCAACGGGATGCTGAAATACAGAACGTGATACGATATTTTTTTCCCCTTGGCACTACGCCCCAGTGGGCCTGGGCCTACCTCCATGAACTTCTCCGTTCACTTCGGTTTTTCTACATCTTACACATTCGGTAGGACTCCTTGGGCGGGTGATCAGCTCGTCGCAAGGCCTCTACCTGTACACAAACACAGAAAAACGCACACATACAAACTAAACATCAATGCCCTGAGTGGGATTCGAACCCACGATCCCGGTTTCCAAGCGAGTGAAGACACTACATGCCTGATGATATTAAGTAATCACATATCGATGTCGTATGCTAAGTACTCACATTAAATTCCGTTAATGCTGTTATCAGTTTCCGCACATCGGGTACTATCGCTTCCTTAGCACTTCCCGCCATGTTGCATATTGACACCCGGTAACAGAGATAATCATTTTACGCCAATCGCTCCAACCCCTGTAACCAGTTGTGACCGCTGTGATCGTTGAGAGGAAGAAGTGTAGTAGAGTTTTGACGGTTTTGACAACTTATCTGTTGGCTTCCCAATTGTTTTGCAGTCTTTCTGAAATAGCTTTCGTAGTATAGAATTATAAAATGGACGATAATTTGTGTAGGCAGGTTGGTGAGAGAGAGATAATGTTTTGACGGTGATGAATAATATTACGTTTTTCTGGGATGTGAGGTTATGTGTTGTATTTATACTGCTAAAGTTCTAGTATTTAGAAGTGACAGTCCAGGAAAAGCTGCGCAGTGGATGGGCGGGTCCATTCGTGAAAGTTTAGGGTGGTTGTGGTTGTGATTACTCATTCGTCTGCATTCAGTGCGAGCAGACGTCCCAAATGCATTCTTCCTTGTACAGTCACGTTAAAAAGTTTTGACTCTTGGAGTCTTATTTGAGTGTATTATTCTCTATATACTGTATTAATATTTTATTTTGTTGTTTATTTTTATTCGTTGATTTTCTTTTTTGTTTATTTATATTTGTAAATTTTTCTGTCTCCTTTAACATGCCACCTACACGAAGTAAATTGAGTGGAAAAGTGTTGCATTCACAATCAAGAGAAATTGTTAGTATAAGTATATGAAAGAGGCTGGGCTAACAATTACAGTGAATAACATAGGAGTGGAAGTAGCAAAGGCAATAAAAGTTCACGAAAAGTTGAAGAAAACGTTAGATTTTCAGGGATGCATCTCCACATTAAAGAAAATTATTTTGGAACTGGGGGTTCCACTGGAAGAAAACAAAAAATAATCAGCAGATACTGGTGGAACGATATAATATGAGAGCAAAACGTCTTCAGTATTTGCGGCAGATTAAAGAATATAGGGAAGAGGGCCACCCAATCATCTACATGGATGAAACCTATATTCATTCATCGCACACCACCCCATATGCATGGAGTGATGGATCCATCCAGGGATTATTTTCCCCTGTGTCCAAAGGCCAACGGCTGATTGTTATCCATGCAGGGGGAGAGCAAGGTTTCATCCCTAATGCCTATGTAGCTGTAGCGCAGAAGTAATCATTGATTAATTTTATTTGTTGAGTAGATATTTACGATATCATTGTACATTTCAAATAATAGTTCCAGATCCTTAATGTTAACAATTCGGTTATGTGCGAATGTTTTGTATGAGCCTTTGCTATTTATTGATACGTTCGGTATGACATTCATAAAAAGTGGGGGCTGTACTGGACTGACATGAAACAGAATTGAATTTATCAGTTAGCTTACAGTATATATTTCCTGATAGAACCCACCAGGTTTAATTGTAATTAACTGAATTATGATATGTTTGGAAAGGTAATTGGATACATACCTATAATTACTATATACACTCTTATTAAAATTAATTTTGAATGACAAGAGAGAGTGATGGTAGGTAAGTACTGTTAAATCTTACAGGTTGTGTTACCTTGCAGGTGGAAGAGATTGAAGCTTTGTGTTCAATATATGGCACTGAATGGAAAACAGAAGATGAAGTACACCATACTTACAGTATCAAAATAGAAGAAGGTATCCAATCTGCTGTTTTGTATGTGACACTACCAGTAGATTATCCTTCAACAAGCCCACCTGAATACCAATTGTCAGCACCTAGTTTAGGTGCACAGGAGAAAACAATAATTTCTTCACTGCTAGATCAAGTTTATTTGTAGGTATAATATATTTTTATACTTTTCTGTAATGTGTTTCTCAAGAATGTCGGTGCCCCGCTCCCTGGATTCTGATAATTATTTATATATTTTTTTATTGCTAGTGGAGTGGGACTAAGTCCCTTGTACTGCGGCCACTTCTGGCCTATTGTATCAGCCCCAGATGATAGGTGAGGGTGATTGTGGAGCAATTGGTGGGATGAAGATTGGCAGGGGAAACTGAAGTACTCGGAGAAACCCTGCCCCACCTCCACTTTGTCCACCACAAATCCCACTTGACCAGACCCGGGATCGAACCTGGGCCACCACGGTGAGAAGCCAGCGACTAACTGCTTGAGCCCAATTATTTATATAAATACTAAGTATTAATCCAGAAGGAGTGGGTTTTGGACTTACTGTGTGGTTATTTCTTCAGTATTTTAAGCACATTAAGCATTTTAAGAGATGAGTATGGTTTTATAAAATGCTCAAAATTGATAGATCAGAAGAAGCAGGTTAAATTCCATTGTGGTTGCAGTATCCATGCTGAATGAATGGAGATATGAAACTAACAGACATATTTCGAATGAATAATGGAATATCCGAAAGAAAATTTAATAATCTTCAGAAAAACAAGAATATTAGATACTTATGTAGAGACATAAATGAATTAAAGAAAGGTTACAGGCCTGCAGCTGACTATGTAAAGGATGAGAATGCTTATCTGATTGCATATTACATGATATTTTGAATACATAGAAGAATTACTTCTGTCAGCTGTTGAATGTACACAGGGTTAATGGTGCTAGGCAGAGCAAAATCTTACATCCGAGCCATTCATACCTGAGCCTGGTTCTTTTGAGGTTGAGATTGCTGTTGATTTGAAACCTGCAGGTATTCTTCAAATTCTGACAGCAATGATACAAACAACATTATGTTTTGAGGTCCATAAACTTATTAATCTGCTTGGGATGAGGAAAGATCGCCATGTCGGGAGGAGTCTTTTGTCTGTATGTGTTTATGAAAAGGGTGATAATGCTGACTTGTAATATTCAAGGAATATTGCTGTTACTAACTACATACACAATGTTGTTAGACATTCTACTCTCAAGGTTACCTTCATTAGTAGATGAAATTACTGGAAATGATAAATGTCGTATTTGGTACAAAGATCAGCTGCAGACAGATACTGGTGGAGGTGGGGGGAATGTGAGTACAGTGGGAGGCCACATCAGTTATTTATATTATTATTTCTTTTTATTTATTTATTGCTGCTGACAGTAGCTCATATTTCCCAGAATTTGCTTGAAAGTAATAGGAAACCTCAGAAACAGTTTAGTCAGTCCTCAGGCCAAGCTTTGTACCTGGGACGTTCCAGATACAAAGGAAGAGTGCTCTGTACTGGACTATGACATTTGGTGTATTTATGGTCATGTGAAAAGCCTGATTTATGAGGGAAATGTTGTACAGTATTCTCATAGAGTTGAGACACAAACCTACTTAGGGGGCACATGGTGGCATGGTTGGTTGAGGCACTATGCTGGAAGTCGGAAGACAACAGGTTCAAGTCCGAACGAGGTGGATTTGTTCAATTTACCTAATCGTTCCAGCCACACTTAGCCCTGGGGTTGACTCAGCCTCTAACAGAAATGAGTACCAGGAATCTTCAAGGGGCTAAAGGGTGGCTAGCGTGTAAGGCTGACAACCTCACCGCCATCTGTGAACCGATTACCTAGCAAATTTGGGAGCCTCGACATCTCACAAATTCATGGACCTCCACGACCTGTTACAGCAATACCTTTACTTTTTTACCTTTACCATGAACCTAGTTATGTTAATGTACAAAAATCTTAATGAAATGGTGGAAGTATATGGACTGGCTTCATTTGGTACAGAATAGCTTCACTACTCAAGAAGGGCATGGCTCTGCGGGGCTAAGTTTTTTCTTGACTTACTGCATGGGTTGTGTATTATGACAGTGAAGTGACATTAAATTCATATTTCAGGGAGAACATTGGGGAAACAGTCATTTTCCAGTGGGTAGAAAAGGTACGAGAACTTCTGCAGCATATGCAGGTATTGGAGGCACCTGAAGAAAAAGATGAAAATGAAGATGAAGATAATGAAATGGTGTCATTGTGTTCTACGAGTCATCACGTTGTTAGGCCAACAGTTACTCATGGCACCATCATCACTGACAGAAAGAGCATTTTCCAGGGACATGCTGCCATTGTCACATCTGCTGAAGAAGTTTCGTAAGTAAACATGTGTATGAATGCACACACATGCTCCCAATTCCCCTCCTCCTCTCTCCCTCCCTCCTTCTGCAACGGATGTAAAATCCTGGAAAATATGTGAAATACTATTGGAGGTTCCACTTCTTCTCCTGCTTTTGGGGGAAAATATCATCCCCCTTCAGGCTGATAATTGAATTCATTGTATGCGTATTATTACTCTTAACTGTAGCTAATTGCAACACTTATATTACTGTTCACAATCTATAATAACTACAGCCCAGTCCCCTTTATCTTCATATACTTGTTGCTTAGTTATGAGCTTCCAATAACAGGGATTCTCCGCTACCCTTCTGTCCTCGAGATCTCCCGTCCGCTCCAGCTCCGGGTTTCTCTCTCTCTTGCTTTGGTCCAGACTGACGTTCATTGCTGCAGAAAAATGTTTAACAAGCTGTTGTATAGGAGTGGACACCTCTGCAATACTTCTGACTGTATGTATGACATCACATTGCTAGCACCATAAGGCTACAAATCAAGAAAAGCCTACAGATGTACCACTGTTTCTCGTTTTTTAAATAAAATTACCAATTTGCTGGCATTGTGTGTAGGCAGGTGCTGGAGGACCTGTATGAGAACAAGAAGATAGCTCATGCTACACACAACATGTATGCATACCGCATCTGGAAGCAAGATACGAAATGTTTTGTCCAAGACTGTAATGATGATGGAGAGACACGTGCTGGAAGTCGTCTGCTTCATTTGCTGCAGGTATTGGAGCTAGAGAATCAGAAGTATATGTTTGAGAACAGGGGAGGAAGTAACTGCACAGGCTGGGTCGCACCATAGCTCAAGCGCTTACTCACTGGCTTTCCACCACGGCGGCCCGGGTTCGATCCCGGGTCTGGTCAAGTGGGATTTGTGTTGGACAAAGTGGCGCTTAGGCAGGTTTTCTCCGAGTACTTCGGTTTCCCCTGCCAATCTTCATTCCACCAATTGCTCCACAATCACCCTCACCTATCATCTGGGGCTGATACAATAGGCCAGAAGTGGCCGCAGTACAAGGGACTTAGTCCCACCCCACTAGCAATAAAAAAAATAAACTGCACAGGCTTGGGAAAACTGCTTGATAGGGAACCACACAATTTATGCTCACCACCATTTACCATTAAGGAAATTAAATCAAGCAGAATGGGATGGGTAGGACATGTAAATTGAATGGGAGAGATGAGAAATGAACATAAAATTTTAGTCAGGAAACCTCTAGAAAAGAGACAATGTGGGATGCCTAGCCACAGATGGGACAAAAAGAAACAAATTCCACAGAGCAGAACGCTTTTTCAATAGCAGATGTAATTCAAGAAATTCCCTGGCTCTTATGGAACGTGGGGGTTCGTTAGCAAGTACACAGAAGTCCACCAGTTACTGTTCTGAGACAGTTGAATTTAGTCCATACCCTCACACCCAGGATTCTTTAGATCCATTTTAATGTTTTCCTTCCAACTTTGCCTAGGTCTCCCAAGTGGCCTCTTCCCTTACGGTTTTTCAAGAAAAACTGTGCAATCGTTTCATACCAATTTGCAGAAGAGTTCCATACAGGGTTTTCAGGTACATTTATGGCCTAGCTTCATATTGATTTATGTATGCCCATTTGTCACAGTTCATTATCGAACAGAAAATTATGTGTAGATTTCATACAGCTGTCATGTCATCATCTTAAATTATATACAAAATAGTGATCTTAAAAGTAACAAATATTCTGGAGATGTTTTACCATACAAAATTTATAACCCTGTGTTAAGGGGTGTCAGTATTCCTCCCATCTGAATTATAACTGGGAATTGGGGAGTTAGAAGTACTCTTGATTTGAAGTTCATAAAAATCCATAAAGTTCAAAATGTGTACATATAATCATGGTCTAACACATCTTTGAAGGCACATTGTACCTTGAATAGGCAACTCTGTATCTGTAGGATTTGCTGTAAGACAACTGTTAGAGCCCTTAATTTTAGTGAATTAGGAAAAGTAAGATAAGCAAGATGTGTAAGAATAAATTCTTTCTTAAATATTTGTCAGGTACTTCAAGTTGTTGAAAAATTAAAAGGTTTCCTTAGAACGCACATGAATCACTATATACTCCTAACTCAGAAAAAAAGAAGCAAGAGGTGATAGTAAGATCAGGAGTGGCAGACAAATTATTATGGTGCTAATCTTAGTTGCTGCACTATATATCATGGAGTCAGATCTCACTGAGGCATGTATGCAGTCTGCTCTTTTGTGTTTAGAGGCCTTGAAACAGTCTAGTCTCATACTGAGGAATACTGCTATGTGTCTGGAGGGCCTGATAAATGCATACTTAGAAAATATTGTCTAAAAAAATTTGGTGTAATTTAATAGCCTGTCTCTTATAATGGAGTTACCATGTAACGGATGTTACTTTTCTTGCAGATTTTGAACTGTCAGAATGTAATGGTGGTTGTGACTCGTTGGTATGGTGGAGTTCATCTAGGCCATGACAGGTTTCGACATATCAGTAATGCTGCAAGACAGGTGTTGGATATGGCTGGGTTAATTCAGCCCTGTAATCAACAGAAGAAGAGTCGGAAGAAAGAGACAAGTTGAAAGCAATATATCAAGATATAATTTTGTTAGACAATGTGTCTTTGTTACATTCTTTTGGTTGGAGGGGTGTATATGTGTCTCAGGAATTCAGAGATGTAATTATAATATCATCATCATCAGTAATCTGTCAGGCGACAGGTCCACAGTCTCTTCCAAAACAGTTTCTCCACTTAATGCGATCTTCTGTTTTTGGAAAGAGACTATCCAGGAAAAGTGATAATGTGGTAGTTTTTCCATTTGCTTTCCACATCGCAGTACAACAGCCGTTCAAACCACTCTGGTCACGCCTGTTGCTATACGAACTTGAANTTTATGACTATGTCTGAATGTTATATAATCAACTGTGAGCGTGTCACTCATTACAGAAGTTGAATGTTGGTTGCAGTTGTTGAGTAGGTCATCCTGTGAGTTGAGCACTGCTGTGTAACTTCAGAATTTCGAAATAGATGCAACAACAAACAACAATAAAGAGTAAAACTTGAGCATCTTCATGAAATGGTGACAGCGTTTGCAGTATCCTGCTACATAAAAAGAACAGCCTCCTACCTCTTAATATTAGCAGGACAGTACCAATTTTGAGAGCTGTGTTCTGTATCCTGCCTGGATATATGGTGATACATACATTTGCACAGCTTTTTAAAACTTGTGAATTACATTAACAAACAGAAGCCAAGTTTTTACTGTGCTTCTTGCTCTAAGTTTTAGTACATATAACTTTGCCTTGATATTTGATAATACCATTGCCAAAATTAATGTAGCCAGGATGTTATGTTGTGGCTTCATTGCCAAGCAGTGGAAGTCGTTGCGTGAGATGATATCCTCTCCCTCCACCTTTGTCTGGTAATGTCCCCGAGTATATGACAATTATTAAAATACTGAGTCTGTTATGAAAAGATGCCTTTGTTTCCTGGCAAGAAGAAGATGCCTCCTTTGTATCATTCATAAGCCTTTTCATTCTGTGTATTTATTGGTGGTTTAGTTGGCTGGCATTGTTAAATGACATGTATATTACTTGAGTTCCAATCATGACAGCATATTTTAGTATGGTTAAATGTGCCCTTGCATGCATAATGCTTTGCAAATTCATTCCACAAATTTGTATGAAAATATGGAATAATGAAAAACAAAATGTATTTGAAAACCAATATTCTCTTTGATTATCTGGTCGCACTAAACTCTGGATAAGTTGTTTAAAAACAGCTACAGCATGGAACGTCAGGTTTAAAGTAATGTTACTTCAGTTGCAGATGTATATGTAATATGAAAATTAAAAGTTATCGTCAGCAAGCCAAAGTGTTATTATTGCTAATGAGACCATGGTTATCCATTGTTGTATGCTCTTTCCACTGTGGTTATAAAATTCCACTATTTGCTTCCCTTACTCCTTTATTAATGAAGTTGAAACCTGCTTCTTGTTGTTGTCGTCATCATCATCATGATTGTTGGAGGGCATCTAGCAAATTTTTCAGCCCTTTATCCTAATCATTTACTAAAGTCCATTACATTATGCTGGTTCCTTAGGTGCAGTTAAAATTATAAATTTTATGTAAGAGGCAGTACCAGCCCAACGCACTGTTCCAGATACAATTATACCATAGATCTAAATTTTATCCTTCTCTTTTTTAAACTTCTGGACTTCAAGTTCCTTTTTGGTTTATCAGAGACTGTCTGTTCTTCCAATAAAAACTAGCCTTCTGCTAGATGCACTTCATCTGCTACCGTTGTTTGTCAGGATTCCCCATGTAGACCTCCATGAAGTAAGTCCTCATGGAATATCAAGTTGAAGTCAATTTTACCACCGTGTACTTTGGAATTGACAAAACATTAGTAAGACCTACAGTAGTTATTTTATAATCCCAAAATTAATAAACATTTTTGTACATCATAAAAAAGGAAACCTATCATCATCATCATCATCATCATCAATCATCCTCATCCAGACTGACTAACTTTTGTTTTAAGGCACTATACTTTCATCTGATTGGTCATGCATACTCAGGACAGACTCGGTTGAATCCGCCATCTATAATCTGACTGCCACAGTAAGTAAAGTTATGATTTTATTCATCCCCTTTGTTAAACATAGAAATTGTTCCCTGTGGCACTGGTGCTTCTCACAGAAACATTGTATCACGAAAGAAATTTGATGATTTTGTAGATATGAAAAGGACCAAACCTGCTGAACACCATGGTATTTTTTCTTGTTCCCACATCTACCATCAAGACAGTCAGGCTTCGGTGGCTAAAACATGTAGATGGAAACCTTAGGATAAAACCTAATCATTTCAAAATTTAAAAAGGACAGTACCACTCTTATCTAGTTTATTTCTGATGACAGTTGTGTGATAAATGATCATAGCAGCTGTATCAGCAATCTCATTTTCCATATGAGGAAACGAGCTATCAGTGGTGCCTGGCATGCGCAGTAATTTGTTGTCACAGAGATGACATTGATAAGCACAGTATTTTTCAAGTGTATCTTTTCATCAGCAGCAGCTAGCTCATAAAGTGGGGATTGTCCAGGCACATGTTTTAAATCAGTAAATTATAGTTGCTGAAGTGAACTCCGAAGTCACCATGGAAAGATGATTATCAGCAATGTACTGCCAATTTCAAATAAATTCAGTTGATTTCAACCTGAAACACAGATGGGCAGTTGATGGATTATACAGGCAGTGTTAGGAACAGCCCAGGCTTGAATGATTAAATGCATCCAAGTAGTGATCTCACCTCCAGCAATTAAGTTTCACTTACTGGATGTATTAGAATTCACTATATTTGTAATTAGACACAAAATGGCCGTGTGTGGCCGAAACATGTATCACATAAACATGGAATGTATATATTTTACTGATATTTTTAAGCATTTTAACGAATATTTTAGTGAATTAAATGTAGATTAACGTCATCTTGAGTGGCTGCACAGTTGGCAGCTTCTCAAGAAGGGCTCAGCTCCATGAGTGAGTTACTGTTCGTTGCAACAGCTTAGCAACCCGGTCATGCAGGAATACTGCATATGCTTGCTGTATAAGGTCGAATTTGTAGGTTTGAAGCATTGTGAACTTCTCATATTTTTCTTTAGTGATTTTCTCGTTTAGTTATCTATTATGCAATTCTATTTTATATTTTATTAACCCTTGTGTTTTACACAAGTGTCTGATGGTCATATGTGACACTTTTTGGAAAGGAAGCATGTGACAAAACGGGGACTTTAGTCCTAGGCATACAGGACAGTTCTGTTAGGGATAGTGATGAAATATCACTGACAATTTTCACTGCACTAATATAACAGCACACACATAAAAGGTCTCTCTATATAATGGAAATTACTTATCAATGAGCTTTACATGTGCTGGTGATTCAATTTATCCTCGTCTATGGCAAATGACTTACAAATGCAACAATTGCTCCAGCAAATTGAATTGGTTGGGTAGGGCTGGAGATAGTACACAACAGGACTTCCTTACCGCCTGAATACACGGGAAGGACTTTGAATGTTCAATTTGAAAGAAGTCACAGAGAAAGCTCTGTGGAAACGCAAGGATAAAAACTGGTATTTCATGGATGAAAAAGTTGCAGTGATTGGGACATAGTAAAACAGTGGATGTAATCAGATGACATGGTAGGGATTTGGAATTATATGTTAAAAGGCAAAAGATCGAAAGAACAGCACAAATCAAGGTGACTTGCCCACATGAGTGATGGCATCATCTAACCTCTTAATGAAAACTACACTAGAGTCTCAGGAAACCAGACTGAGGTGGCTTACCCAGGTGATAATATTACAAATAACGGAAGAGTATGGACAGAGATGCAAGGTTAAAAATTGTGGGTAGGCAAACATAATTGGAGGTTTATAATCCATAAACCCATCTCTTAGTGGAAACAATTCCAGCAGAAGAGACACAACCTAGTTTAAAGGAAATTAAATGCCTGGAGTGTCTTCAAACCAGCAGAATCATGTGTAAAGTAAAGCTGTCCCTGTGCTTAACTGATTAAGCACTGTATCATGAAAATATATGGGGGAGTGGAGGTATAGCTCCACCATTCTTAACTTTGGCACTTGATGGAAGTGAGTGGTCATCTCCATGCCCCAGCTGCTTTACGCCTGGGAAAGAGCCCCCAGTACCCACTGGATAGGAGGTGGGGTGGACCACAGAGCTGGTGTGCATGACAGAGAAGTTAAAATTCTTACCCCCACCGGGACTCAAACTCCAGTTCCTTCGTTGTCCAGCCCTTAGCTCAGTCGCTATACCGACTGAGCTATCCTGGCTCTATACACAGGATTGGGTTCCTGCAATATCTCCTGGGTGTTTATCAACCCCTTTGTATGTGAAATTCTTTTGATTCTGGGTGCCTCAGTATGAAGCTACGTGAGGCAATGAATTTGATAAAATTCTGTGAAATGAGTGGCTGAGCAACTGCTGGCTTCTAAAGAATGAGCCAGCTCCACAGAATTAGTTACTTGGTCCCTTCCATAGCTAAGTATTCAAACTACACTGTATCATCATCATTGCCGTCACTGTTGCCCGTTATTGTTATTATTGTTATTGTTATAATTAGAGAGCTGGAATGCCTCAGTCGGTATAGTGACAGGCTACTACTGGCTGGATGATCAGTGCTTAATTCACAGCAGGGACATTTTTCTCTACTCCAGTGTCCAGACTGACCCTGGAGCTCTATCCCCGGGGGTTTAGCGGCCGGGGCGTGAAGCTGAACACTCACCTAAAACTAGTGCCGAGGTCAAGAAAACGTGGATCTATACACCCACTCTCCCACATGTCTCAATTGCATAGTGCTTAATTAATTCAGCACAGTGACAACTTTACTTCTTATCCTCAATTCTGTGTTTACCTTAAAGATCTGGCTTCGACATAGCGCGGGATATTACGCAAGTTGGTCTGCCGTGTAAATGGAAGGTCACTGAGTCACCATCACTGCACATGTGACATGTTTCATGCAAGAATTAATTTAACATTGCTGGACTTGTAGACTGTAATGAAGGGATTTGGCGATGAATGAGGCTCCTTCAGGTTCTAAAAAGAGAGAAGTTCTTGAACAGCTGAACACTCAATAGGGATGGCGAAGCACAAGTAATATATTCACCAAGAAACAGTTATAAAGTTATCATTTATCCTGTTTGGCCAAAGAACGAT